TTAATTTAGGAGACATTTGCTCGTACAGTATTCCAGCAAATTTCATCAGTAAGAATTGGCATGTGTTAAGCTCCAATGTTTCCTTAGCATACGTAGATCTGTATTGTGGTCTTATTTTGGTTCAAACTGAACTGTTTAAAAAGATGTAGTTATGATTTTGTAATATCTTGTTTAGTACATATGGTAATGACTATCCTTTTTCTCGAGCTATAAACTGAGAAAAATGGGAATTCGGACATTGTCATGTTGCAGAGAATGAACTAGTGTTTTTATAACTTGAAGATCATAAATGGAACTGTGTGCTTTTCAGAAGCTGAATTTGGTTTTTTATAAGACAAGCTGGCATCAGTTACTTTGGGTTGAAAAGAAAGCAATAACAGCTTTTCGATACTTATGTTGTAGTTTGTCACAAACCTGACTCTCACTCAGAGCTCAGGAACGCCTAGAAGCTAGACAGATCTCTCACTTTCCTTTGCCTCTGGTAAGTGGAAGAAAACCAGCACTCAATGACTCTCAGGAGAAGAACTTTTAACTCAATCAAAGAGCTAGATCCAACTGACTGGCTAATAAGTTGAGGATCTTCTGAGGTCGACAACATGATGTCACTACCACGAGTTATGAGAAAATCACCTCATTTGACCCTTGTGATTTGGACTAATTTACTAATCCACAGAATTTGTTCCTTTTTGCCTATACTTTCCAGCCATGATATTTTTGCAGAACTGCTCAATCTTGTATGACCCATCTGTGAAACAATATTTGAGTTTAAAGGGGATATAGTTTAAACGTACATACTAGTAATTAATAACCTATTTTTCCATTTGTCAAAGGATGTTTGTTAATTGTAAAATGTCTTTTGTTTATTGATGAAACCTGATGTGAGTTTATTTTATCTTAAATAACAGCTAAAGTTAAGCAAAATAATTGTGTTTCAATTGGTGATATATTCATTTGTAACACCTTGTGAAATAGTGGACATTAATTATCATGCACCTTCCTGTCAGGATCATGATAATGTATATACTTTTGCAATATCAAATGCCACAAATTAGTGAAGAATGTCCCCTCCACAGACAATCCTGTTTGGCTTCAGGCACTTTTTAAGTAAATAAGTAAAATATCCAGAACTAGTTTGCTGCTTCATTTGGTTGGATCCAATCTTTTATACTTGGTTTATTAGCGTATTTACACTGGTAGAAACATTGAATCCACAGTGGGAAAAATGTAGATGTGGAATTGCACCTGCAGAAAGTGCAGGTGCAGTTCAGTTCACACACTGTAGCAAAATTAAACATGCTTATTTTAACTACACACTGTGTCATTGGCTCAAAATCCTGGAACTCGCTCCCTGAGGCATTGTGAGCCTACCTACAGCTTCACCTTCTCAAGGGCAATTGAAAACGGTCAATAAATGGAAATCAATGATGCCCACAGCCCGCAAGTGAAGTAAAAAAAACCAAACAGAGAAAACATTGCTGTCTAGTTTACTACTTTTATAGTGGATTGTAAGACTGCATTAAAACTTGTCCAAATTTAGAAAGTAGACCTCTCTGCCTGCTTTTCAGTCTTTATTTTCTCATCAATCCTTTTTGCATTATCAATGAGACTAGCATTTGTGATGTCGTGTTTAATTGCCTTATAAGATAATACTTTAAAAGCAGTGCAGTTGTGAAATTGCACAATATTTCATTCCACAAAATATTTTACGACTGACCTAACAAAAAAATGTTTTAGAAATGTATATTTCCTTCCTCCCAATGAGGCTTAGTATTTATGTTCAAGTCTGAGGAATTCCGAAAAAATTCAAGTGAATATGCATCTGGACCTGCAGTAGATCGCATGTACATAAGAAATAGGAACAGGAAAAGTCCATTTGACCCATCAAGACTGTACCATTATTCACTAAGACCATGGTTGATTTGCTAGTGACCTTAATGTGCCTTCATCATAACCTTTGACTACCTTGTCAATTAACTCAGCATTGAACATATTCAATGACACAGTCTACCTTACTCGCTGGGAAAGAGAATTTCAAACATTAACTATCCTGAGAAAAGCAGTTCCTTCTCCTTGCCATCTTTTAGATGGGAATTAAGTTAAATTGGAAACATTATTCAAAAAGCTACCGAATGGAGTCATTAAATGAGCATTGTGATGATGCACATGTCTACAGTAATATGCAGAAATTTGCGTATACATCTCTATTTGCCACAGAAATATGACTCAGTCCAAATATTTCCATCACCTATAGCTTTTCAACATAATTATTTCTTTCATACAAAAGATATCCAGAGCAATGGGATGGTCAGTCAGAAATAGACTATCCTATTCGAAACACTGTTATGGATTTAGGTATGTGTTGAACAAGCAGATCTCAGCTGAGGGAGCAGTAACAGTATTACACCTGGCCTTAACATTATGGGGCCAATTTGTCATCGTTGTTCAATGAGCAATTCTGGAAAGTAAATCTGTGTGGAGACTGGTTATGGATAGGATTGGTCTGGACTGTTATAGTGGACAGCTTGCCAAAACTCACTAATTAGGCATGCCAATGAAAAGTAATTTAGGTGAACCATAATTCTTGGAAAAGTAAGTTCTTAACCATTGGGAACATATGAGACAGAGGTCAGGTTTTGCTCTATATCACATTTGACATGTCTAGACACCAGTCATAGTGCAGCATTAATGGAGTGCTGAGAAAAGTTCTTCTGTCTATCTTGTTGGCAAGGAGAGGCACAGTGATAAATTTACAAAGAATGTGAAAAACTTAAATTATGACTAAAATGTTTATTTAAAAATTGTCTATAGATAAAGTTATGAGGAAACAAACCAGCTTAGTAATGAGATGTTTCTCGAACTCCCTAACTATACCAAGAACTAAAAGAATAGTAATGTTTGTCAAATGTACAAGGGGGACTGGTATCAAACATGTTAGACATGATAAAATTTATCCCTGATACAACTTAGACTATGACAAAAGTTAATATTGTTTGAAAAAATTGTCACAGGGCTGAAGTCGTCACCTTGGAAACATGAACAGATGGCAAGCTGCCCAGATCTGCGCTGCCTCAATAGTTTGAGTCCACTTCACTTCATGTGGTGCAATGGTGCAATAAGCCTTTCAATCAATGGTCAGTCGTTTATCAGGTGGTAAAGGCACTGGGAGAATGATTAAACTTTTCTTTTTCCCTTTTGCAGTCGTTTTAGAAGGCTTAAAGAGAGCTGATAACATCCGTATGGAAGTGTAAAACATCATTATAGCCAAAGTTTTCATCAGGACTGCTTGTACCTTGGTCACAAAATCACGTATGGTTATAGGAGAGTCTTAATTCTTTTTTACCCTGGACTGCAGAAAATCGTCAGAGATTTGTTGCCTTCGCATTCTTTCTAGGGTAAGACTGCTTAACTCCCTTGATGGTAAATATATTTTTCAAGCAGTTTCAATTTCGTGTATTTAATTCCTACCCAATTAGAGTTTAATTTTAAGTTACAAATTTCCCTACAAGTGGATGAAATGATCACGAACATTTGTTGAAAAGATGTTGTTATCTGTAGAGCACAGTTGAAGTAAAATGCATTGCTTTTGATGAATAATGCAATTGTCTTTCCTTTGCAGTTTAACTTTGTTGAAAGAGATTTGATATTACAGCATTCAAACTTTTTATAGACATTCACGCAGAATGTAAATATTTTCTTAAAAGCTACACATTGAGAATCGTAAAGTGAAGGTACAATGCCCTTTGTTATTGTCCACAATTTAGCCAGGTTCAGAACCTCAGATAAAACCATGGAGTTATACAGCATGGAAACAGAGCCTTCGGTCCAACCAGTCCACACTGATCCTGTTCCCAAACTAAACTAGTCCCATCTGCCTGCACTTGGCCAATATCCCTCCAAACCTTTCCTATCATTGAACTTATCCATGTATTGTCAAGGGAATTAGGTGAGACAAAGCCTTTATCACACAAATGTTTAAAGAAAGTTGGATCATGCCGTTCTTGGTTGTCATCAGTTACTCCTGCATTCTAAAGTTAACAGCTTAAATCAAGTACAATCTTGCTTTAACCAAAACCATGGAAGCAGATCATAATCATGCATTACTCTGTGTGCAAATTGAGTGGTGTATTTGCCTACATAACTGTAAATGCATTTCAAAATACAGCATGCATTGGGACTGAGTGACTCACTGCTTGAGGCAACAATAACAACTTATATTTACCTAGTACATTCAACATGAAAAATCGTCCCAGGATGCTGCACAGAACCGTTATATTGCAAAATATGACACCAAGCACTAAAGGAGATATTAAGCCATATGGCAATAAGCTTGGCCGCAGAAACAGGTTTTAAGTAGCATCTTAAATGAGGAAAGAGCAATATAGATCCTGAGAGGTTCCAGGAGGGAATTACACAGCTTCAGGCCTTGACAGTCGCAGGTAAGTCATCAACAAACGGACAATTAAATCTGAGGATGGTTAAGGCCAGGATTAGATAACTGTGGATCTGTTGGAGCCGAGTCTGTGGCAGGCTAGCCTTCTTTTTGAACTGCTTGGGTAACCTTAGCTTGTCTCCTTCCAATTACGCATGCAGGCTGCAATGGATGGCATTAGACTCCATCATGACCTGTACTATTTGCTTCATGTCCTCTGAGGTTGGCCTTCATACCTCCATGGGATTGGTAAATACTCTTCTATGCAGAGCACAATCCCAGAGATTGGAGACAGAAACCTTTATTGTTTGTGGCTGACATCCACTGAACCCAGAAAGCTTGTGCTTTCACTCCTCATTCCATTTCCCTTGTGCTTAGTGCTTCACCCAGTTACTGTGTATTAATAATAAATGGCATGATTTTAAAAGGGAAACAGGAACAGAAAATTTCAGCAGTGTATATATATGAAGATGACAGGACATGTTGGGAAGTCATAGATTATCCTAGGTTTTATTAGTAGAGAAATAGAGTTCAAAAGCAAAGAAGTTATGCTTAGCTTTTATAGAACATTTGTTAGGCCTCCCTGGAGTATTGTGTTCAGCTATTGATACCATGCTTTAAGAAGGATGTCAACACGATGGAGAGGTTGCAGAGAATTTACTGGAATGGTACCAGAGATATGGACTTCAGTTATGGAGAGAAAAATGGACACACTGTTGTTTTTCTGAGAGCAGAGATGAAGAAGAAGAGATTTGATAGGGTGGTCAAAATATGAATGGTTTTGATGAAGTAAACAAGAAGAAATTGTTTGCAGTGAAAGAAGAGTCAATTAGCTAGAATACAGAGATTTTAATGTGACTGATGAAAGAACAAGAGGTGACAAACGGGAATACATCTCTGTGCAGTAATGTCTGGAATGCATGCTTGAACGGTGGTGGAAGCAAATTCAACATTAACTCTCTAAGGTGAGTTTGACAATACATGAAGGGAAAAAGATTCACAGAGCAGGGTAGTAGCGTTAATTGGCGAAAACTAGGGAGCCAAACAATGTGAGTTGCGTCAAATATCGTCATTCAGTGCTGTGTGTTAAACAATGATACTATCTGTATTTTCCTATATGGATCTTTGTCTCTGGGTTGGTGAATGCACAAGAAGGGAGTGACTGATGGATGGAGTGAAGCTCAGATAAAACAACTTTTTTTATTCATTCAAGGAATGTGGATGTCACTGGCGAGGCCAGCATTTATTGCACATCTTTAGTTGGCCAGAGGCACACGTAGGCCAGACCAGGCAAAGAAGGCAGTTACCCTCCCAACAATTAACAATGGTTTCATGGTTATCATTAGTCTCTTAATTCCTGATTTTTATTTTCCATTGAATTCAAATTCCAGAGCCTCCCCCTCACCTGAAGGGATCTGACAGAATTTCTTTTTCCTTTGCCTGAGAAGAACCATGAAAAATAGTGCAATAGAATAAAATTGTACTCCAAGATTCTCCAACACAACAATGGAGGCCTTGATACAGAGAGTGGACAAAGGACCAGAAGGAACTCCAGATAGACCCTGTGAAGACAGAAGGAGTAGATACCATGATTGTAGTGCTACAAGAATGAGTGTAGTCTCAACAGTACTCAAGAAAATTTACAACATCCAGGACAAAGCAGCCCACTTGATTGGTATCACATCCACAAGCATCCATTCCCTTCACCAATGAAGCTCAGTACCAGCAATGTATACAATCTACATGACGCACTGCAGCAAATCACCAAAGATCCTTAAACAGCACCTTCCAAACTTGCAACCACTTCCATCTAGAAGGACAAAGGCAGCAGATACAGGAAAACAACAACACCTGCAAGTTTCCCTCCAAACCACTCACCATCCTGACTTGGAAATAAATTGTCTTTCCTTCACTGCCTCTGGCCAAACTCCTGGATGTTGGATTTTAAAACCATTAACCATTTTGAAGTTAAGCTGTGTGGGTCTGCTATGACACAATGAATGAATAATTCAAAGGAGTCACTTTGTCCAGCTGCAGTGTTCAGACAGCTGAACAGTCTTCCTTCTCTACAACAAACAAAGGCAGGACTATTACAATTGACGGTAGGGCCCTGGGTAGCATCGTAGAACAGAGACACCAAGGGGTTCAGTTAAATAATTCTTTGAAAATATTATGACAGGTAGACAGCTTGGTCAACAAGGTGTTTAGCATGCTTGCCTTTGAATATAGGAATTGGGACTTGGTGTTGAGTTGTACAGGATTTAGTGAGGCCTCTTTTGGAGTATAATGTGTAGTTCTGGTCACCCTGCTATAACTGGATTATTATAAAATTGGAGAGGGTTCAGTAAAGATTTACCAGGATGTTGCCAGGACTGGAGGGTTTCAGTTATAAAGAAAGGCTGGATAGGGTGGGACTTTTTCACTGGAGCTTAGGAGGTTGAGGTGTGACCTTTGTAGAGGTTTATAAAATCATGAGAGGTATAGATAAGGTGAATAGCACAGGTACTTTCCCTAAGGTGGGGGAGTTTAAAACTAGGGGGTATATTTTTAAGGTGAGAGGAAGAACATTTAACAAGGACATAAGGGGCAGCTTTTTTACACAGAGAGTGGTTAGTGTGTGAAATGAACTGCCAGAGGAAGTGGTGGATGCAGGTAGTTACAATGTCTGAAAGACAGTTGGAAAAGTACATATATAGGAAATGTTGGGAGGGATATGGACTAAACACAGGCATTTGGGACAAGTTTGGTTTGGGAACATGGTCAGCATGACTTTTCAGGGGCTAGCAGCAGCAGTCAGGTCAGTGGCACTGTGACTGGCTCTGAGGCTCAGAGGGAAAGGGTGCAGTCAGACAGAGTGATACTGATAGGAGACTCAGTTGTGAGGGGGACAGACAGGAGATTCTGTGGCCGCAGAAGAGACACCGGGATGGTGTGCTGCCTCCCGGGCACCAGGGTCATGGATGTGTCTGAGCGGTTGCAGAATTTTCTGACGGGGGAGGGTGAACAGCCGGAGGTCATTGTGCACATAGGTAAAAAATGATATAGGTAGACAACGGGATGGGGTCCTGTGAAATGAATATAGGGAGTTAGGTAAGAAGTTAAAAAGCAGGACCTCAAGGGTAGTGATCTCCGGATTATTCCCAGTGCCACGTGCCAGGGAGGATAGAAATAGAAAGATAGGCCAGATGAATGCATGGCTGAGGAACTGCTGTCGGGGGCAGGGTTTTCAGTTCTTGGATCATTGGGATCTCTTCTCGGGTAGAGGTGACCTGTACAAGAGGGATGGGTTGCACTGGAACTGGAGGGGGTCCAATATCCTCGCAGGGAGATTTGCTGGTGTTACTCAGGAGGGTTTAAACTAGTTTGGAAGGGGGGGGGGGGGGTGGGTGTCTGAATAAGAGGGGCCATCGAGAACTCAGGGGAAAATACATTAGCCATCAAGGCAAGTTTACTATTGAGGATAGCCGGGGCACTGTAAAGGGAGGGTAAAGGCTTTTGGTTTAAAGTGCATTTATTTCAATGCACGAGGCCTAACTGGTAAGGCAGATGAGCTCAGAGCATGGATTGGCTCTGGGGATTGGGGTATTATAGCCATAACAGAAACATAACTGAGAGAAAGGCTACATGTGAAAAAGTTGCTGCTTAGGTCCCTTTTAAATCTTTCCCCTCTCACCTTAAACTTATGCCCTCTAGTATTGGACACCCTACCCTGGAATTTTTATTTCCTTGTCTATTCACGCTATCTATGCCCATCATGATTTTATAAACCTCTATAAGGTCACCCCTCAGCTTCTGACTCTTCAGGGGAAATAGTCCCAGCCTATTCAGCCTCTCCGTGTAGCTGAAACCCTCCTGTGCTTTGAGAGTATAAAATGGATGGTCACAAAGTGTGAAGTGTTTTACCTTCTTCTTAACAGGAAAGAAAATCAGGTGGATTGTAAAATGGACTGTGGATTTGATGTCTCTGTGTTTTGTGCTACTCCACAAGACACCATTTCACCTCCATGTTCCCTGCCCACTTCACAGTACACAAATGCAGCAAACCTGGGGTTTGCATTAGAATCAACACCAGGGTCAGTTTTCGACGTTCTGGCAGTTCAGTGGTCTGGCATGAATTGCTAGGTTGACAGAGTTTCTTCAGTTCAATTCTAATCAGTAATTTGAGGTTGCTGAACAAATAAACAAGTTAAAACATTACTGAGGTATTTTCTTTACCTGTTGGAACATGTTAGTTTCTTTTGATATACACAAGTTTGTGATATTCTTGGCAACCCTTTAAACTTTAACTCAGTAAAGCAAGCATAGCGGTAATTGAATCTCGAGTTCAATCCTTAATCTGTACTCGGCGAATTGACCTTAACTAAGGCAGCAATAGGACAACTATAATTGTCCTGAGCAATCCTGATTGTGGAAAAGAATATTGGCCAGGTTTATCAAGTCTGGCCATATCCAGAAAACTCTGCTAGACGTGTAAATGTATGGGTGAAGACAAGTTGGACTACGTCTACCATCTGAAGAAATCTATTCAATTTTACGACCATGAAGCAGTTTGCAAGAAACCTCATATGACGGAAGTAGGAACGTTTGTCAGTTAGGCCAGCTGTCATTGAGTGGAATCTTATCAGAGCATGGAGGTAGGTTGGGAGGCACGATCAGGAGAGCAATTAGGAAAGTTGATGTTGGATCGGTGGCCAAACACATTTCAGCCTCTGAGCAATCATGCTAGAGGCAAGTGAACAGTGGCAGCAACAGGTAGCCAATTAATGGACCTGTTGAGGGGAATGGGAAAGACTCCACTCAGATCTCCTCTGGCATTTGAGCGGCATCCTGCTTAGATGGATATGCTGCAGCCCAATTATACATGCCATAATTTACTCATGTCCTCATTATTGGTTTTGTACACATTATGAACAGCATAATTCATTTGCATTATGAATGAGCCATCAATGTGCATTCTTCAAAGCTAAATATTTACTACAATTTTAGATGTATCAAAAACATTTTAGTTTTATCCTTTTATGTTTGTCTGCCAAACATCCTGAAGATGCCTGTAGAATTAACATTCTTCCTTCATCCGACAAACCACATTCTTTCATTTTGGAAAAACTGCAATTGTATCAACTGGTTTACCCCAAAACATAAAAGCACACAGCTTGAAACAATTAGTGGATGAATGTTTTGCAAGATTAATTATTGAAAAATAAATAAAAATAAATGAAAGGGGGACAGAATCTGCGAGACAATATTGATCTGCTCAAATCTCTACATTGCATATGCACATAATGAATTTGCTTCCCATGCATCATCAGTAGGCCTCATTCATTGCCACTTTTTGATGTAGATAAAGCAGCAATGGAACAGCTGACACAGTTTCTCTCCTCCGCCACAGTTGTTGTGTTGGTTCCCAGCCATTAAACAGGGCTTAAAAATTTTGATATCTGATTCTACTGTAATACTCTATTCACCTAAATCACTTTTAAGCAATACTGGTTTCACTCCAACAGCTAACATAGACAGAAAGTAAAGACTTACATTCATCTATAACCTTTAACATTCTCAGGATATTCTAAAGCATGTTACAGCTAATGAATTATTTTTGAAATAGTCACCGTAAACAGACATAGAAGTCAATTTGCACGGTTCCACAAAATGAAAGGAAATATGACCTGCTTTTGATGGTGATATTTGAATGATAAATACTGACGAGGAGAATTTCTCTACAATGTCTTCAAATAACTTCATGGAATATTTAATGTCCATTTGAGAGAGTGTACAGGACTTTGCTTAATTTAAAATCTCACCCATAAAATAGTAAGTCCAACAAATGTAGTGCTGCCTAATGACTAAGATATTGAACCGAAGTGCTAGAGGAAAGGGATAGGGATCTATGAGCTTCTGAGTCAGAGATGAGAGAACTGACACTGAGCCAGGGCTGATACAATGATATTTCACCAAGAATCATTCCTTAGGCAACATGCGTAGCAGGTCGATGCCTTATAATGCAATTTGTGCTACATTTACAGTTGAAATATGGGATCAGTGAGGAGCAAAGATAATACAAATTACAACTTAGTCTCTCAAACATGTTATATGTAATATTTGTGAGTCATTCTTTTCTGGCAGAAAAGTAGCTATTGTATGAATTAAGAGACTGTGTACCCAGAAGGAAAGTGGATCCAAGTTGTAGGTTCATCACAGATCCTTATCCATCCCAATGTGGCAGTGTATTAAATTGGTTAAAACATACAATCTATTTCCAAGAAAGCTGGGAAAGATGGTTTGTAATGTCAGGGTAGTTAAAAAATAAAAAACCTTGTATTTTATAGTGAAGGCTGAGTGACAACTTAACTTCCATCCCATATTCTAACCTTCTTAAAGAACCAGCAATTCTTTTTGTTGATTTTTAGCATTGTTAATCTCAGCTAAAAGGTCCCAATGGCAGTTGCTCAAACGGAAGTAGAATAGCCTTGCCCTATTGGCTATTACTACTCCTGATCTTAAACACTAACTGAGATACTCAGTCATATCACCATGACCATCTATCTGTCTTTTCTGCCATCCTTGTTTCCAAATGCTAGCCAATTGGATTGGTCCACATTTTTGGGAAATGCACTGTAACGGTTTCCTCTTGCCTCCTTCAGTAGGGCTGACCGTCAGGCTTATTGGAAAGATACACAAGCTGGCAATCAACCCTATTATTTATGAAAGCTGTTGCTAAATTATTATATAGAACAGCAAATGTGATTAATTAATTGCATTTCTCCCTCCCCTTAACGTATGGCTACAGAGGGTCATTTGATCATCTCAAATATTGGTTTTGATCAGATTAATTGAACTTGACAACTTTCTGATCATTCATTATTCAGTACCAACCAAACAATGGATAGGAATCATCAGTTTTGCTAGAAAATTTTGCCCTTGAAACGTGCATGTTTTGTCCTGTGGTTTGTTTTCCTATTTTTCTTTGCAGTTTGACAGAGAGTTGTGGGGGAGTGGGATTTTTTCCCAGACATTAACCTCTCCCCCCACCCCCACCCCCAGCTAAGTGATCTAGTTATGAATTGGAATCAGTGCTTGGTAACATCAAAGCCACTAAGAAAAAATTAGAACCAATCTGAACTTAGACTCTGTGAAAGAAGCAAGTGCAGGTTAAGTCTTAAGACAAAGCAGAGAGTGATTCACACTATGCCGACATTATATTTTTTTAAAATGCTCAAGACTGGTGTTGACAGTGATCTAGAAGTACAATTCTTTCAGACAAGAAATAACACAGGAGATAAAAGTGCATTAAAAGTAAAAGATGATTAAAGCCTTTAACCTAAATAAAAGTTGATTTATCTTTTTCCCTTTAGACAGATCAATATACAGTTTGATATGACCGCCAAGCAGATGCCTTTATCACAAGAGGCTTTAGCTCAGTTCAATCAGGCTTTATCTGAGCACAATTTGGGACAGTGCCCTCATACAAGTTCCATTTCCACTCACAGAAGTACCCAGTCCGTGAATGTGCATGCCAGCAAACATCATCTGCAGCAGAAGAACATAGATGGAAGATCTCATGTTCCTTCCAGAAGGAGCTCTATTATAAGTAATGTCAATGCATCCTTTTCTCGCAAAGGCTCAATGATGCAAGGCAAAAGACATTCCCTGAGCTGGATGACCTCTGGTCAAGTCAGTTTCTCTGGGTTGCCTCTGTATCAACCTATCAGGGAAGTGAAGTGTGAAAATACATACAAATCCCAGCCAGATGAAGGCTGCAAGTTTGATCCCTACAAGGTCCAGAAGGTCTTGGAGGGAACTCTGTCAAACTACTTGGGCAACAACAAATATAACCCTGTAACATGTGTACAGCTAGTGCAGAGTTTGACAGACCATATCAGGTTGAAAATGAAGGATATCAATGTCCCTAGATACAAGCTGGTGTGTAATGTGGTGCTGGGCCAGCTCAATGATCAGGGAATATTAATCGTGAGCCGCTGTCTGTGGGATACATCGACAGATAATTATGCAACAGCTACTTTTAAAAACACTTCACTTTTTGCTGTTGCAACTGTGTATGGGATATATTTTGAATAAATAACATATCTGAAGTTATACTGTTTGATTATAGCAATCTATTGACTTGCCTAAAGCCTATAATGTCAGTGGTGATAGATGAGAATATATTTAATTTTATGATATATTGTAATAATTGCAATGCTGAAGTGACTTAATATTGCATTACAACTGTTTTGTTACATAAGAAGCAACTGAATGGCACAACAAATCACTGTTTGGCTTAGATTGCTTACAAAGCTTTTGTTACATCATCTCAGCAACAGAGAGTAAACCGTGTTGAATTTTTCTGATCATACTTTGATTGTCCAAGTACATGCTAAGAAATAGTTTACAGAATCTATCATTTTCCCAACAACTAGTCTGCAGTTTTTTTCTAACTTCTTCCTTCCTGGAATGCTGTAGAGGTGTTACATCCATTAATTTCCAATCTGTTGGCACTGTTCTAGCATCTAGAGAATTTTGGGAAAATTACAACCAGTGCATCCATTATCTCTGCAGCTACCTCTTTTAAACCCCTTAGGATACAGACAAGCAGGTGCTGCGGATTTGTTGGCTTTTGGTTAATTTCTCCAACACTTTTCTCCTCTGTTGATATCAATTATCTTAAATTCCTTACACTTATTAGGGCCTTTTTAGTGGCTGTGTCCCAGGGTTTCTAAAGTATTCTAAACTCTCAGGCTTACAGCGATTCTTTGCAAGATCATTGGTCTTCTCTTAAGCTAATATTTCAAATTTCCTTGTAAAACACTGATGTTTCTCATTCAGCTTTTTATAAAATTTTAATGGTATATATTTCAATGTACATTTTGATTGTTTCTTTAAATGTTTGCCACCACATATTTTAGTCTACTTAACCAATAAATATTAACCAGTTCACCCCCTCATACCTAAATAGTGGTTTTGTTTTAATTTAAATTCTTATTTGGGACTGGAGTAGGGGGCTTTCAAACTTAATATGGAATGTAATTGTATTATGATCTCTATCAGAAGTTTCTATCTTATATGAACATTAAAATTCCCCACCATTAGTACAATGCTATTTTGCAAGCTATAATAGTTTATTACTTAATGCTCCAACCAATGTTATAATTACGGTGAGGAGACCTGTAAATTAATCTCAACAAATTACTCACACTAACATTTTCTGACACTTAAATAAGAACAAGGTATTTCAGATGCTAGTGATCTGAACCAAAAATCAAAAGTGCTGGAAAAACTCAGCAGGCCTGGCAGCATCTGTGGAGACAGAAGCATTGTTCACATTTTGAATTTAATATAACTGCAGAAATTCCTCTGACGAAATCATATTGGACTCCAAGCATTGACTCTGTTTCTTTGATCACAAAGGCTGTCAGAGCTGCTGTGTTTCTCCAACTTATCTGTTTTTCCCTGTTATTCCTAATATGTCTTTGTAATAGCAATTACCCAGTTATTTCTATTTGAGTCACACTTTCACCTTATTACAAATGCTGTATACATTCAGATTACAGTCTTCAGTTTTTTTAAAAAATAAATCTACTATTCTTTGTATGAACTGTATTCACTGATGGCATGGTGGCTCAGTGGTTAGCCCTGCTGCCTCACGGCGCCAGGGACCCAGGTTCAATTCCATCCTCAAGCGACTGTCTGTGTGGAGTTTGCACATTCTCCCCGTGTCTGCGTGGGTTTCCTCCGGGTGCTCCGGTTTCCTCCCACGGTCCAAAGACGTGCAGGTTAGGTAGATTAGCTATGCTAAAATTGGCCATAGTGCCCAGGGATGTGAGTTAGACATAGGAAATGCAGCAGTATGGGAATGGGTCTGGGTGGGATGCCGTTCAAAGGGGTGGTGTGGACTTGTTGGGCCAAATGGCCTGCTTCCATACTGTAGGTATTCTGTGACTGGTCAACTTTGTTGAAGTCTTTGTTCCTTCCTGACAAATTCTGCTTGTTTTTAATCTAGATTGTCATTGGTGGACTTTTCTTCAATTTTCTAAATCTATCACCTGACACCCCCCAACCACCATCCTAATTCTCACTTATAGTTCAGCCATAGCTGTAGTTGTGAGTTGCCAGAACAGATCCCAATGGAACAGACTATATTAAACACTAATGTATAAAATTGCCTCAAACAACACAGCTTCAAACTGCTCAACAACAGTACTGGATGAGGAGTTCAGTCATATACCCTTCTCAGCTAGTTGCAAACATTCTCAGGAAGGGTTACCGGACCCGAAATGTTAATTTGATTTTTCTTCATAGATGTTGCCCGACCTGCTGAGCATTTCCAGCAACTTGTTTTTGTTCCCGATTTACAGCATCTGCAGTTTCTTTGGTTTTTAGTTACAAACGATGCCTTGTATAACATGCTGATATATTCTAACATTTTGTTGTAAAAGTGATAACAAGTATCTGCAGGGGAGGATTGCTAAAGTTATGCATTTGTCAAGCACCAGGAGATTTTAGTTGTTGCTTGATTCAAATCTTCATTAGCCGTGTAGATTTCCAGGAGAGCAGAATGGACAATTTTCAAAAACTTTTCCAATGCATTAATGCCTACTTTACTGAGAGGAAATGTGCATTAGGCAGACAAAATACTAACAGCTATTAAAGTCCATTGCTTGGATTTAATTGATATGGGGAATAAATTCTTTTGAAATATTTAGCAGACATTGTCTGTCTCATCAGTGAAATTTTTGACTTCAAACATATTTGTGTAACTTTGCAGAGAATCAAAATTAACACTCAGCTTTTCAAAAAAAAACAGATATCATGAAACATTGAATATCACTAGATAAACAAATAAATACACTTTGGAAACTGATAGAATACCCATCTGGAAAACTTTGAACGTATGACTGGTATTATATTTCTTTATGATATATCAAGTACATACAGTAAAAAAAATTCTATCAGAACATAAAATCTACTCTCTCGGTGTAGCTTGTGAGTAATGAGCCCAGTGTTTAAATTACAGATGTAGGTAAGTACTACATGTTCATTCCTATTTTTTCAAATAAACTGTTGGCCTTTTATTGAAAGAGCTTTGGTGTGTTTTAATACATCCTGAATTACTGAATTTTTTGCCTTTGAGTTAGGACTTCTGCAGGCTTTTATTTCTTTGTTAGCAGACTGTCTGATTTTCATGGAAAACCACCATGTTCATAAGCTTCTGAAACAATCTGTTTGAAACATGACATACCAAGTTTCTGCATTTGACATTTCAAGTTTCCGTCCTACCGAGACAATAGCTCTGTCCAGAAATTGTGGTATGCACTGGCTCAACAGTGATTTTAGTCACCCCCACTTTACATAGGGATGCTGCTTAACTTTAAATAAAAACCAGAAGAACTGTGGATGCTGTAAATCAGGAACAAAAGCAGGTGGTGCTGGAAAAGCTCAGCAGGTTTGGCAGCAACTGTGAAGAAAAAAAAAAAAAAAAAATCAGCGTTAACATTTCGGGTCCAGTGACCCTTCCTCAGTTCTGACTTTTAACCCGAAACATTAACTGATTTTTTTTTCTTCACAGATGCTGCCAGACCTGCTGAGCTTTTCCAGCAACTTCTGTTTTTATTGCTACTTAAGTTTAACTGACTAGACACACTCCAAATAAGCCATTATTAGACAATTAACAGACAAATGTGACCATCACCATGTATCCAGTGAGTGCAGGCATTTTGTCCAGCAACAAGACAACAGGAACAGGAGACTATTTATCTCCTTCAGCAGTTCATTCATTCATTGCAATCACAGCTGATCTGCACCTCAATTCTATTTAATGAGCCAGAAAATAATGCATGGAAAAAGGAGTTGAAGAAAATTCAATATTATCAATTAATAAAAGTATAATGAGCTTTTATGTACACTATTCTGTTCTATCACTTGTCCATTTCAATTTGGTCATGGGATCCACACATTTACCCAAAGCAGATTACAAGAGATAACTTAAGTGTCAGAACTACTTCTGATACGTTGAGATTACTTTATCACTGTATGTAAGATCTATAAATGAAGACTCAACATTTTTGATAGAAAATAAATCTAAAGAGGACTAATTTTATATATTGATCTTATTTACACTTTGCTTGAAATAAACCTATGCTATTTCTCTAAAGATGGAGAAACAGCACCTACCAATGCTTTACTATCAGCTGCCTTTTCATCAGAATTGTGATACTTAAATAATAATTATCCTTCACAACTTGACTTTAGACAAGACTCTTGCTCCAAATTCAAAATCAATGTGTATCCCAGCAGAGGAAACACTACAAAGAGAAGACACTTAAAATTAGTAGCATTAAAATCAGGAGAGGAAAGTGACAAATATTTGAATCCACAGAAGAAAGGGAGTCCCACATGACAGAAATAAACAGCAAGCAGATAATTGAAGATTTAGAAATCGGAAACAAAACAGAATATAGTTCCAACGTACAGGTCAAACCCCACAGATGCTGTCAGACTTGCTCGGAGTTCCCAGTATTTTGTTTTCGTAATAGAGTTGACATTTAGTTTTGATGCAGGCTATACCCAAAGTACTGACCATAAATTTTCTGGATTGCATGACACAAATTACACTGCCAGTTATGCCAATTTCTACAATCTTACCCATGGATATGTATCAAAGCTTCCAGTGGAATTAATTTAGACCATGAACGAAATATAAAATATGCATTGATACAGCATCATTAACCTGCAAATTATGGTGTGTGTAAATATACTGTTACTTTGTTATTTGTCTTGAGCTTTAAATTTTGAACGTTGGTTTATGCTTTCACGGTGCTTCAGGGCAGTGAAGAATAAGAAAATGAAATCCTCCTGAACCCCAAAATGTGGGATAGCGTTATATTCTGTCTGATTCACTTCCAAGTTAACAAAATGAGAAAAACATGAAGGAAAGCATTTCTTTAGTATTTTCCTGAATGCATTACAAGAAATAATTGTACATGTTCACTTAACTGGCATATATTCCACCATAATCTGCATCCTATATAAGCAATCTAATTTTAACTTCTACAATATTTATGGCGTTAACTAGAACCTCAAATCAAAAATCTCAGTACAGGGAGGCCATTTGGCCCATCAAACCCAAGTTAGCTCTTTGGGTGGACCCATTCAATTAATCCACTCTTGCTCTTTCACAGCTATACTACAACCTTCTCCCTTCAAATATTCATCCAGTTCTCTTAAATGTGACTTCAGAATCTGCTTTCACTTTCATAATGGTAGCACAAATAGGCAGCATGGTGGCACAGTGGTCAGCACTGCTACCTCAGTGCCAGGGATCTGGGTTTGATTCCAGCCTACGGTGACTGTGCGGAGTCCAAAGATGTTCAGGTTAGGCTGATTAGTCATTGTAAATGTACAGTTACAGGGACAGGGCTGGGTGATCTTCAGAGAGTTTGCTGTGGACTTGATGGGCCAAATAACCTCTTTCCCCATCGCAGAGATTCTGTAAGACCATGTTCCCTTTAGTATAACAAAAAAAAGCTAATTTTTGTTTTGCTTAGTCAGAAATATTCTGAATTAAACAAACTCAAATAATTTTTGTACCTTAGTCATTAACCACCTGTCACAATAACACTAGCAATCTAACATTTTATACATTGAGACGTTATCAAACTCCCAGACCAAGCTACCCAAATGGGAAGAGAGCTGTACTAATAATGAGATTTGGCACTAAGTTCCAGGTGAAACTGTTTGAATTTCTAGTGCACATACCAAGCAACTCTAAAATAAGTTTGAAATGCCCCTTTCAAAATCAGTTCAAAAGGCTTTGTACGTGAACTATGGCATAAGCATTCCCCAATTACATTGTTTAAAAGTAGGGAAATGTAATAAGCTCACCACAATTCTTTCTGGAAAGACAACCCTTCATGTTGCACCACGTTGTCTGATACACTTTCAACTGTAAAATTTGTAGCACAAAATATGCAGTTGAGGCAAGAACCCATATTGACATCATTGACAAGTGACTGGTGGTCTTTTGCAACAGGTTGTTGCATCACTGTGTGTCAGAGAACCAAAGAACAAAAAAAAAAAAGCACCACATTAACTGAATATGTAATGGGTGTTTGCTGCTAAATTGATAATTTGAGACAGGCCAGTGCAACCAATCCAATGTTGAAATCCAGGTTTCCAGCAAACACCACTTATGACAGTTATCCTAAACCTATAAGTGACAAATCAACTGGAAAGCAATATTGGCAGAAGCCCAAGAGCTAGTGTCTGCATTCTTATACTATTGAGAAAACAAATTCATACCAAACAAAGAAAAAAGTGTTCTTTGACTCAAGTACATTTCAAAGTCTGACATACTCATCACCATTTTTAAAAAAATAAAACAAAACAACTTTCGCTCAATGGCAGCAACCCCCACAGGAGCACAAACTTTAGGTTTGTCACTGAAAAACCTGCACTAATTGAGTTAGACCAAAATGAACACTTTCTCCATCCTTCCAAAAGGAAAAAGGGAACTTCAGGCCCAAGTACCTGCTAGCATGAAGGAGAAAACAGTTAACATTTCAGTTCCAGTGACTCTTCCTCAGAACTGATGGTGGCCATCAGTTGAGGGTCACTGGACCTGAAACGTTAACACTTCTCCTTCACAAATGCTGCCAGACCTGCTGAGCTTCTCCAGCAACTTTGTTTTTGTTCCTGATTTACAGCATCTGCAGTTCTTTTGGTTTTTACCTACTAGCATGGCCAAGTAGTATAGACAGCAGCAAAAGATAACTGCTGCAACGAGATATTTCCTTGCTTGTATCTCTATGAAAACAAACCGGAGAGGTACAGCAAATGACAGAATAAAAGGTGAACCAAGTTATTTTTGGTTTACAGTTATGAAGTAAGCATTTTGAGAATTGGAGGCCTTAAAAGGAAAACAGAAGGATTTACAGGAGTAGTACTTGGAATGCAAGTCTTAGTGTCAGTGTTACATGAAACAGGGAGGCCAGAGACACTACATTTAAAAATTAAAGAGATACTAAAATAGGTTGGGGGGGGGGGGGGGGGGGGGGGGTGGGAAAGGAAAATATAAAATCAGGCTGTGATGAGATGATAAAGTTTACAGATGGATGTTGATTGGCTAGGAGAATGGGCCAGCATCTGATAAATGGAGTTTAGTGTGGATAAATGCAAGGTCACCCATTTTGGCTGGAAAAAAGTAAAAATGGTAAATTGTTTAAATGGAAATTTAAGATTTAAAAAAGTGTCAGTGCAGAGGGATCTGGGTGACCTTGTGTATGAATGACAAAGTGGGTATGCTGTATCTGCATACAAGAAAGGCAAATGGAATTTTGGCATTTGTTGCCAAAAGACTAGGTTATGAAAGTAGTGTGGTTACCATTATATAGACAGAGATACAGCAGGAGTAGCAGGTCCAGTTTTGGTCCCCTACACAAGGAAAGATGTGTCAGCATTGGAGGCAGCTCAGAGGTTCACCAGGTTAATTCCAGGGATGAAACAGCTTTTGGCCAAGGAGCTTTTGAATAGCTTGGGCTCGTACTCAAGAGTTCAGAAGGGGAAAACGGAGACGGAGACGTATAAAAATGCTGAAAACAAGGGATTGAGAAGGTGCCCATTGAACAGATGATCCCCTTATTCAAAATTGTCCTGAAAGAAAAAGGGGGGGGAAAAAAAAAAAAAAAGTGACAGGGGACCTACTTCTGAGAATTGGGAATCTGTGGAACACACTGCTCCAGGAGTTCAGTGGAGACAGAAATCAAGATTCTGATGAAAAGCAGGATCAAAAAGGGCTACAGGGAGAAGGCAGCAGAGTAGGAGTTGAGACCAGTACAAGATCAACCATGATCATGTCAATTGGTAGAGTGGACTCAATGAGGCTGAATTGCCTACTCCCACTAATTCTTAATTGTTAAATGGACATAGCACAGCATACCATGGATAAGGTTAGAGCAGATAAACTTGAACAGGCCAGGCAGAGAAATTTCTATTCCATTCCTCAGGTGAAGTGAGCCCAAAACAAAAAACCAAACCATTTTGTATTCATCTGGTCAGGAAATTTTCCTTTGCTGATTCTCAGTTTTTCCAGTCATTGGGAAAAGGGGAATGCAAGATGGGTTAGGGAATCACAGATGCTGCAAATCTTGGGTCTTCTCCAACCACTCAAACCACCTGGATGCTCAGAGCAAGTTACACATTCACATTCTGTGGTTTGCATGTATACTTTGAAAACTAACAATCCATTGGCATGAAACACAAACAAATTAGGTTTGAAGAAAAACAAACTTTATTTGATAATTAAAAAAATCTTACAACTTTTTCACAATTTCAATTGCATGGTTATCCTTAAAAACAAGGAAATAAATAATAAATACAAAAATAAATAGGCTCATTCAATACTTTCATGAACATAAATAAGACCAGATTTATTAAATACTTTTGAATCTATAGACTTCAGAGGCATAAAGATAGGAATGAGCTGAACATCAGGATTTACATCCTCAGTTGTGCCACCTTCCCCACTACCCTGAAACAGCAATTAAATTTTAAGTTTTCCAATTTATAATTTTCTATTGATATGGAAGAAAGTTTTTAGGAATACCACACTAGGATTAAAACTAAAAAAAGGTTTTGGTCTTGATCTGCTGGATATTAGGGTAGTCTCGTTTCTCCCAACTATCAAAAAGGCAAAAGAAAAAAGTTTGCGGTCAATGAAGTAGTTAAGATAACTAAATAGCCTAGATACAACTGCTGTTTTGATATTGCAACAAATGTCAGTTTAGTAGTACATACAACATGGAACCACAATTCCATTATATAAAAAAAACAAAACAAACAGTTACCTTAAACTGCATATCTAGTTTGTATGGAATCAGAAAACAGGCTGGTCATAAACTGCCAACCTCTTCCTTCAGACCCCACACAAAAAAAGGAAAGGGCATTATTGGAGAGCAGACTGCTGTTGCCAAATCACAAAAATCTAAAGACAAGCACCAGAAAAAAAAAGTCAGAAACCATCATCAAAAGGCCATTAGAGTTGTATTAAACCAGGATTTTCTTTGAAAGACAACCAGTTTTGAGCATTTTCAAAAAAGAAACATTACTAAGTTGAAGTGTACAGGCTTTGGTTAAGAAAGCTAGGACAGTTTGCTTTCAAAGAAAATAAAACATTGCTCATGGCACCAAGAAAACAAAGAAGAGAAGGTTGATCAATTCTGGCCCATCCAGATCCTGGTTTAATGAACTAGCAATGCATTGTGCATTTATACTGCATTCCATCTGCAATAAACCATATGCCATTCCCACTGTTTGCATTTTCAACATAATCTGACCCAAGTTAATCAGTTTTGAAATGGTTCTGGGCCTACTGCATTCTGCAAAACATTCTTACCAAGATAGAGGAAGCAGCGTTTTCTTAAAAGCTGAAGACTTAGCAAACTCAATAAAAGGAGTCACTTGTTAAAGATACAGCAAGCTTGCCTTGAGAGGAAGTGGGGAGAGATCACAAGATTTGGTTTTCCATACCAGTAATCAGGAGATTTAGAGACAAAAAACCAATCAAAAACCACCAGAAAACAACATAGCTGCACTGGAGCATAAACTTAAATTTTAAAAAAAGCTGATTTCAGGGTAGTAATTAAGAAGCTGTGGCAAATTTCACAACCCACAAATTCTTCAAGCTCTCTAGCATTGAGGGAGTGGAAAACAAAACAAAAATAAACTTCAATAACAGCTCACGTGTGCTAACACATTCTTCTCATTAGTGACATTTAAACAGACGCAAGATTATAAACCACCAATAGTTTGACTTTAGATTCCACTCCTCCAAATTAAACAGCAGCTTTTCTTGCCAATGGTTCAATATTTTGCACCCTGTAAAAGTCCTTAGTAGAGGTAATGTTATTTTCCTCTCCTCTTCAAGAGGAAGATTGATTCATATGTGGTTTACCTTCTGTTGCTACTGCAACAGTTTCAGTGTATATGTCAGACGATGGTACAGTTCTTGTGAACAGCCCAGTTCCATTATAGTACTCAGTTTGTACGTGCAGGCTACACGATCTTTGTTGATGTAAGTAAGTAGATAAGAATGGTCAGCTTTGCACAAAATGAGCTTTGTGTGATCATGATAAAAGTTAACCTGTTAAAAAAGGGAGAAAAATGTTACTACTTTGTTTCAACAATATTCATGTACAAAGTTCAATTATTCCAATCCTGGGGAGTGGAAGTTAAAAATCAGAAGAGAGGTTACACTGGACAGATTACAGTGCTCACTGTTTTACAGCAGGACTTACTCTCCACAAACTCAACAGGAACAATATTTATTGACATTTAATGTGCCAACTAAAGAAAATTTTAGATTCCCTTGGCCCAAAAGGAACAGTCGTATATTTAGGACTCGTGGTACTGAATGACAAATTTAAGTGTACAGATCAAAAAAGGGGGAAATTCGCTAAGGCAGGGGCATCTGATAGCTACTAACCAGAGATTGGCTACATTTTAAATCTGAAAAACAAGGTTACCTGTAAAGTGCCATTGTTGAACAGCATCAATAGGGAATGATCAGTTTTAACCCACTGCAACAGGAACAAAGATGGATCATGACAATCTTCAAGGAATGTTCTGGGCAAGTCGCCTCCCTGCAAAGAGGATTTAAAGTTCTCATGTGCAAACTTCAAAAGGCAAAAGTGATCACTGCATTGAAGTGATCATGCTTCGTTAAATGTTTATTTTAAATTAAATGATATGAATCTAGGAGATTTACAACTTAATTCATTTTCTGAAGAATTTCAATTGATTAGAAACTTGTAACCACAAAAGGGGAAAAATTTGTTAAAAATTATAGTGCTGTAGTTTTGGTACACAGTGATGTCAAGGCTATGCATTACTCACCTCCATCAAATTTTCTTCCATGTAATTGGCAAAATACTGGACAATTGTCATCTGTTTCAATAGCTGCTCTGGAATTGCAGAGGCAGAGAAGGAAAAATGCTGGTGGTTATTGAGGTAATAAAACACACTCCTGTGAAAAGAGGGAGGGGAAAATGTTCAGTTTCTGGGAAATCATGCTTTTTAATTAAATTCAACACAGACACACAACAAAGCAAAAAAATGCTGCTTCAATTTAAAAATCTAAAAAAAATACAAGCTTCAAAAAGTAGGGGTATAAAAGAGATTCAGATTGGAGGGAAGTTAGATGCTAGCAACATGACATGGCTAATGTTTACATGCATTTTATCATATGTTCTGCACATGGGCTGGATAGATAAGAGTTTGCTTAAATCTTCTGCAAGGGGTTCACATTTGAAGGAATGGAACTCACCTTCTGTCAGTGGAGAGACTCATATGAGTTCCATCATTGAACAGTACACCGATGCTGCGATTAGATAACTGATAACCAAAACCATATTTATTGGAGTAATCAACCCATTTGGTAACCCACAAGAAGGGTTTGGACCTATGTAGGCTATGTCCAACTGGGTTTTTTTTCACTGCAGGAGAGAACAAAAGAAAAAGTTAGTATGTCTAGGCTAATGAAAATGCAAGAGAAGCAATAAGGATTTTATCTAACTGGGTAGCTTTCGGTTTTAGTATCACTTGTCAACTGGATATTTAGGGGAAAGAATTCAAGCCCACACAAGCACCAAGCTAGAACAACACTTTCAGTGCATCACTGCCTTGTGACTGCAAAGAGGTTCCTTTAGACCTAGAAGGGAACAAGAGTTTCCTGGTATCCTGGCAAACATTTCTCAAATCAATTTCATGAATAAGAAATTGTATTAAATGCTGGTAGGCTTCTGACTTGCGCAATTACTGCCAATTTACCTACAAGCAAGTACCCTTCAAACCAATTTACTGGCTATAACATTTTAAATTGAAGGATAAAGATCTTCTTTCTAGGAGAATATTTGAAGACTATTTGCCATCCTGCAAGTGAAATATTTAAAATGGAAGATAATGTGAAAGACACAGAGACACAGAGACACAGAGACACAGAGACACAGAGACACA